TCTAAACAAAAATTTGTTTTAAGAAAGATCTGTTTTATTGGTTCAAATAATATTCTTTTTTTTTAAAAAAATAGATGTCTTAAAATATTTATTTAAAAAGTTGTGTAAGAGGCATTAAATTTTTTTCTGTTTGTGTATTTTGTGTGTTTTCTTTTATACTTAAAACTCTTCTACCTAAACTTCTTTTCTCTCAATAATATAACTACAAGTCGCGAACTCGTGTTCCAAGACTCGCAGAGTCTTGGATTCAAGCCTTGACACACACATACATACACATATACATACACACATACATACACACACACACATACAGTGTAAAGGGGTTGAAGTACTTTAAATCTGACGAGGCTCAAGGTTGTACACTGATGGAGGTGTAGTTTTAGTCGAGGGATGGACGTACACTTTTCAACTTTTGCATTCATTTCATCAATGAACTGACAGTAACAGATACAGATAAAGTAACAGATAAAGTATTAAAAGACAGTAACAGATAAAGTATTCGTTTCCATCAATACTTTCAGAGCATAACTTTTCACACATCTTTTGGTTCTTCATTTAATAGGGAAAAACAACCAGATCGAAATTTTCAAAGCCACTCTGTACTTTTCGATCTTAAAGAGCATTCTCCCCAATGCCTGGTTAATATTGAGTATAGCTTTTGCTGCATTATTACCAAGTTTATTACTCATTAAAATTAAACGAATATCGATTGAGTTCATTTTATACGAAATTGAAAACAAATAAAAAAAAAATGGAACATTTTTGAGAAATCTTTGTTAAAATACGAATCTGGCAAAGAAACAGGGTTATTCAAAAAACAAAAGCATAACGAAAACAGAGTAAAACGTTCACATGTAAAGAAAATTAGACAGTTTTTTTTATCCCTCAGTCTAATACTAGAGTAAATCTTTTAAGAGGAACGCAGTTTTAACTAATCCATTTTGCGTTTAAATATAATTTACAAAATAGTTATTATTGTGCTTCAGGTGGCTGTTAAAAAATCTCTGAAATATCTTTTGAGATAATTTTTTTCACTATGTGAGGGGAGCAATATGTCCCATGAGGACTGTGTCCCAAAGTATTTCTTTAATTTTAAAATGCATGCAATTTTTTTATTTGAAGTACTGTAATTTGATGTACTTGTCATTAAAAGCTGCAAAATATTTAGCTGTGTTTTCCCCCCGCAGAATTCTTCACATTCGTTTCTCCACGCTTGTAAGGGGTATGTTATTTTATAACGGAGGAAGGGCAGTTTTTGGTTACAGAGAGGAAAGGGGGATTTATTTGTGTGAAGCTGCATCGGCAGTGCACGAAATAAAAAAATGAATGCAAGGTATTTGAAGTTCGATTGAAAAGCTTTTCCGATCGAAAGTTTTTCATGCTAAATCAGCATTGCAAACTGCTTCCTGGGTGTTCTGTTAATGTAATCAGCCCATCAGAGAGTATACTAAAAAAAGTATCAAAATTGAAAAAAAAGTATCGAGGTTATCAAAGGACAATAAATTAAGAGCTCAATGAAACACTGGAGGAATTCCTGAGATTTCTATATAACTTTTAGTTCTCATTTTTCTTTATGAATGCTTTAGTTACTTCAGTAGAATAAATCTGTTACTTCCGTTTTATGGCCTCTTGCAATTGGGAACCTTTGACGAATTTCGAACCGATCGTTGACGAATTTCAACAAATTTTAGAATAGTCTAAATTTATGTGACGTCCTAAGTCACATAAATGAAATCATGTTTTTCAGATAATCAGTTCATGCGTCCTCTGTTCCCAAATTTTGCTTTCACAGAAACATTATTTTAAAAATATATATTTGTTAACAACAATGCATGCAAATAAACCAAATGCATTTGATTTTTAAAAAGTAGTAATAATCTCTTTTTAATTATTTTTATTTTGAAAAACTTTTTGAGTAATCAAAGTTTTTGGACATTCTTACCCAATAATCAAATCTGAAACTATATCTGGTGTCCATTTTTGAATTCAACGTAAAACACGTGATTGCACTTATCACGTGACCTCCATGAATTTAGCTCATTGTGCTTGCGTAATATCTTGGTGATTAATCTTTGTCTTACAAAATATAGGTTTATTGCGGTTTCATGTATAATCAAGAAATAGTTTTTTTTTATTTTATGTAAATAAGTAAAATAATTCGGTCATTTTTATAATGCTTTTTTTTTTTACGCATCTTGTTGAGTAAAATTTATTAAATGAAAATAAAGTCAAACGTTACAAATTTAGACGTCATAGATAGAAATCATTTACTTATTGTCATTATTAATTTGTAATCGTTGAAATCATTTTTTTATGTAGGTAAATAAAAATATTAAAAATAACTTTCCATGAAATTTTCAACAAAAAAAAAAAAAAAAGAAGAAGAAGAAAATCACACACACACACACACACACAGACAAACTTAAAAAAAAGCCAAGATATATATATATATTATATATATATATATATATATATATATATATATATAATTCGCAATCACAATTCCTTTTCGGTTTTGTAGTTGCTCACTGTTTCTTTTCATCCTACTACATTTCTCTTTAAGATGAAAGAAATGCAAGAAAGGGATAAAAAAAAAGTGTAAGCGCTTCTCTTACGAGTTGGAAAAAATAACACAAGCCACTTATCCCTTAATAGGATTATCTATGGATTTCGTCGCCTATGTGTATATACAGTCCTCTCAAATGTCAACCGTTAACTAGAATGATACGGAGACGGATTATATTTTGTTTCATAAACACATACTTAATATATATATATGTATTATATATATATATAATATATAATATATAATATAATATATATATATATTATATTTATATATATATTAGATAACAAGAGTAGAAAATTTTTAAAAGAATATATTTTTTTTTACAACCACATAATTATTTTTTACCATTTTAGAAGACTAAATGAATTCCTTTATTGAATGAAAAAAGGCTATTAAGAACGTAATTTTTTTTGTTTCCATTTTTAAAAATGTTTGTTGCATAATAAAGCATAGTTATATAAAGTAAATTACTTTTTAAAAAAAAAAGAAATTCAGTGCTCTTAGAAGTTTAGTTTGCCTGAATTTTAAGCATTTAACGTAAAAAAAAAATAGTTTTTTTAGCTAGAAATGCCTTTTAAATTGTTTTGTATGTTGGAAAATTGATAAAATAACTTGTTAGAATATTATTAATATCGTCACGTGAGTACTTTAAAAAAAACACTAAATTTTTTTATCCCAGCATATTTTCTTATCAAGTTTATTATTAAATCTGACAGATTATTAATTTTTTTAAATATTATTCTGCTTTTAATAATACAAAATATTTATTTGTGAATGTGATGGAAATGTTTATTTCATTTAATTCTTCAAATCCTTTTTCCGTTATGAAACCGTTTTTTTTTTTTGTTGTATCATTTCATAAGTATTGGAAGATTGTAGGTTTTGTACTGCTATATATATATAATTAATCTTCTTTTAAATATTTTACATGAAATCTGTAACTAATCCTTAGGATATTAGTCGTTTTGAACACAGAAATATGAATAAATCTTTATCCGTTTAAAATTCTATTGATTTGTAACTATATAGAAAAATCAGTTATATAATTTGACAATTGGAGAAAATTCACAAAAACTGAATGATTTCTGAATTGTCTGTCAAAGAAATTTCCAACAATAATAATCCTTGCATTATATTCATAATTTTGTTTAACCAACGATAGTATATTTTGAAATACCCTCAAATATACAAATACATTTTTGGAAAGACTGTTAGTTCGTTTCTTTAATATGCAGCAAATAGTAACACACAAGTTGTTTTCTTTTTTTAAATAACAGTGTTCGATTTTCTTATTCTGGATTAAGAAATTTAATCAACATTTAAATCTAAAAAAGAAAAATTTCCAATTAAACAAATATTAGTTTCGATTCAATTTATAAAATAAATCTGAGACAAAAGGCGACAAAATAACATGATCTCTCTGTATCTCGACATTTTAAAATTAGAAGACCTTTGCCCATTGTCAAACAACAAGATACGAATTCAAAACTTCGAGCACTTTTTTACAAAAGTAAAATTTCTTAAATTTTCCAAATTAAATTATGCATTTGTCTTAAAGAATTCTTGTTAAAAGTGCGAATAAGTGTTTATTTTAACATAGAACTTAAAGCAACTCGAAGGTCATCGGTGACAAACCTTTTAATTTTGAACCTCGAGGTGAGGACGACAGCTGAGCTGGCATCTCACTGTTCAAACTATAACGCCACACCAACGGGAAGACTTTGAGTCGCAACAGATTTAGTATGCATCAGTCTCTCTAACTCATCAGTCTCATGGACTCGAACCCACAACTGCTCCGGCCAGGAGCTCGTGATCATGACCACTAGGCTACCACCGCCGCGTTACAAGAATTAGGCACTGATTTGATTGTCATTCTCGTCACTTGACCATGGTTTAAATTTACGAAGTCCCTACCCATTAGCCCATGTGCTACTACGATTTGACATTAACAAACTCAAAGAAACATGTGATCGCTTTTTTACATGCAGCAGATTAAAAATCGGTTGGAATATAAATAGAAGGGACGCAATATAGAATATATTTTGAGTTAGAAAAAGCAAATCTATTAAAATAAAATCGAATAATGCATTAAAATGTATATCAATCTCTATATGTTAATAATATGAAAGAATATTTGGGGTATTGCAACCTTCTTACTTGAAAAAGTGTTTGGTTCCTGGTCCTCTATAAATTAAACCCTTAATAATCTCTTTTTTAAAAATCTCTCGTTAAAAAAAAATTTACATCAACAAGAAAATAATTTCTTCATTAAAAAATAATTATATCGGAGAAATCTTCCTTTTCGGAAAGTAATGCGTTTTATACTTGATTTTTTTTCTGTATATAACATGACAAACAATCCGAAATTTTTATTTCCAGTCTCTTCTGAAATAAACCTATCAGCAACAGAAAAAAAAAAAGAAAAAATCCATTCGCAATCGTAGGATTCCAGCCTACGCGGGAAGATCCCAATAAATTTCTGGTCTATCACCTTAACCACTCGGCCACTACTGCTTGCGAGAGTTATGAAATTTAATATTTATAATAACCATATTTGATCATTTCCAGGTGTAAAAAAAATTTCACGCTTCACTCGTATTTATTTATAAATTTACATTCGACTTGAACTTAGAAATCCAAACAACGTGAAAATAATGACGCCTTTAGAAGAGAGTTGAAATACTATTATACTTTTACATCTTAATAATTATTTGCTTGATTGATTATTCTTAAGAGAAATTCGAATATCAAAGATCAGTAATTAAGTAATAAGCAATCAAAATCTTTCTAATAGTTCTGATTGGTTTTTATTCTGTATCTGTCTCAAATTATTCCCTAAAAAAGCATGCTTTAATATTTTTTGTTTACATACTTTTGGAAGTTTACATTTCGATCCTGATTATTGAACATTTGATAAGTGAATTTAATAATTTCTTTAAGAATTAAAATCATTCTAAAACGCATAAATTAAGAACATTTCCTGCAGATGTCATGATTTAAATATAAAATTTTTACCGATGGTTTACTTTGAATTTGGATTAGAGAAATAAAACTGATTACATGAGAAAAGAAAAATGCTGTTAAAAATAATTTTTAGCTATACCGTTTTGATTTCTTAATTAGCGAACCCAATAATGCTTTGGTATATTACTTAAAATATACAAATGAATTTAATAAATACAACTGAAATTTTATGTCAATTCATTTATTTCATTAAAATGACATAAATGTGATTGTTTGATTAAAAATTTTTTTTGTTTTACTTAAAACATTTATAAATCCCTTGAAACACAAAGTATCCCACGGGGCTTACAGAATTTAATATGAAACACATTATGTATAAGGGGAAAAAAGAAAATTTAAAAGTCGTGAAGGATTACAAATGTTTACAATGAATTAACAGAATTTTTTTCAAAAGCACTTCTGGTGGAAATAAGTTGGTGAAAATCTGGAGGCCAATTTATATTTATGCCCTTAAGAGCCAATCTTTCTATCTTTCTTTCTGTGACAAACTTGAAACACACACTGAAGGAGCACATGCTCTCCATTTTCCTCGCTACCAATATTACAATCGCAGGAAAATGACGGAACCAAATTAAATTTGTTCAAATAGCTTTTATAGTTACCCTAACCAGTGAGAAATTGGGTAATTTTTAAAATTAGTATAAAAATGATGTCATGGCAATTTTATTAATTGATAGAAAAAATTTCTTTGTAAGCTCTCTTTATTTGAAATGAGATACATTTGGTTCCAAGACTCCCTGTTCTTTCTCTCATAATCTTCTTATATAAGTATTTAAGAATATTAACAGCAATGTCAATTTCACACTTGGTGGCAGCCTTTGCGAGTGATTAACTGGGAAAGGCCAAGCCTGTTTTGTTTGTGTGATGTTATTTTCTGTCAGCTTTTTAGATTATTTTATTGCACATTTGAGTCTTACTTTATTGTTTGTTCCATGTTTACCATTTTTGTTTTAGTAGAATAATATGGTTTAAATGTTTTGACATCCTCATTTGTCTTTCCCACCTATTTATTGCACCATACCTAAAATTTTATAATTTAATAAATATTTAATAAAAATTTTATAGTCAAAAAGAATGTTTAACAAATTATGTTTTCAATATTTTTAAAAAAAACTTAATGATTGTATGAATTTTAAACCTCACATCTGGTATTTTAAGAAAACTGCAAAATGTGCATCAATATTAATTTCATATGAATTAAATAAATTAATCTAAATAGTCTTTCAACAAAAAGGTGACATACAAAATAACATTATGTGGGATACCAACAATTAAAAACAGAAATTATGAATGTCATCACTTTCATTTTAGAATTATTTACAAAGGCATATTTATATAAAATAATTTTTAAGGGTCTGCGTTCGGAACAGTCCTTTTAAAAAAGGAGAAAAAAAACAGAAAATTTTATTTTATATTTAGTGTCATTAGAATTAAAATATAGATATAAAATTGTCTTGAGAATATTATTGCAATAAAAATAATACTTAAGTACAGTTTTTTTTTTCTAACTAAAAAAGGAAAAATGACATAACATTCATTTATGAAAAAAACTCCTACAATAATGCATGTTGTCTGTATATAGCTAGGACTTCTGTATCGGGAATGAACTAAGGTTTTTGAAATACATATTTAGAAGTGGATTTGTTCGTATTTTAATAAATCAGAGTAGAGAAACTCAAACAAAAAACTCCCGTTTTCCTTTCAAAGCTCCGGAAATCATGGGATTGTTTCAACCACGATGTAAAAGTCCTAACTACATTTAGACAAAATATTATTATCCAAAGAATTTTTCAAAAAAGAGGAATGTTTTTGAAAATGTCATTCTTTCTTTATTTTTTTCCAAATTGAATGAGAAAAGACATTGAAATAATTTTTCTTGTAATGATATTCTTAAAACAATTTTAAATGTATATTCAAATTCAACAGACAGTAAATATCAGAAAAGTATTTAGTTATGCGCTTTTCAAACCGCAATTCCGAACGTTGTCAGTGATACTTATATTTTTTTTAGTTACTAGAATACTTAGAATAAAAAATGTCCTGATAAAAATAAAAAACTGCAAGCAAAAATAAAAAAGTCCCCCCCCCCCATATAATCCGAAGAAATATGTTTCAAGTATGTTTTATCTTTTTAAATAAAATATTATTTTGAAACCAAAAAAAAACCTTTTTTTATTGTATATTAAATAATGTATCAACTGGAGGTGATTTGCACGAGCAGTCAAGAACGCGATGTTTATTGTTAATGGATAAATTGTATATAGGAAAAATTGGTACCAAACATAAACGGCAAAAAAAAAATTGTTTTAAAACAAAAATACCTTTTAAAAATCAAGTTTTATACCCGATATTTTTAACCGACATTATTCCCTATTCTTTTCGTTAACCCGCACTCCATCGCTGCATCGCCCCCCCCCCCCCCTCTTCCTACACACTCCTGCACGTCAGAGAACGGCCCACACGTTTCGGAAATACAGTCAGGGTTAAGAAAGAACTAAGAGTGTCCGAGAATAGATTATGTTAATTACACACTGGAAGATCTAAGTGAACTATATTGCGGTTTTACCTAAGGTTTGCGTTTGCGGGATGTTATTCGAGAACCTGGGTCAATTCAGGTACGTTGTGGTGTTTTGCAAGATCTGATTTTTAGGCTTTGGTGTTGCCACTACATAGAATCATTGCGGTTTAACAGTAAGAAACTCCTTGTATTCAATATGCATTAATGCAATACAGTTGTGTGGTTATTTTGTAACAAAATTTAAAAACCGATTTTAGATGTTTTGCTTGAAAAAGAATAAATTGTAAATTGCTTTTGGGGTTATATTTGACTACATAAAGCAAAACGAACAAATTAAGGTGTCTTTTTTTTATGTTAAGGTTTCTTCGTTTACGAAAGATGTTAAAATAAATGTTTATTACTTTTCAATCATCGTAAGTATTTTATTAAGTTAATTATAAAATAGTTTAAAATTCGTACCTATCGCTATGACAATGCAATCGCTTCAGGAACAGCATCTATTTAGGTGAGTAAAATGCTGAAATCTTGTTTTGATGTCAAGCGTATTAAAATACAGAAAAAAATGTTAAGGATGCTGATGGAATTGAAAGATATGGCAGAATAAAATTATAGTTAAGGTATCGGGTTAGAATATAGGTTTATTTATTGAATAGTCCCAGCATATTATTTATGTAGCAGTATGTATTATTTCCTGTAGCAGTATATTATTAACACTTTAAATGGTTTTTGAGATGTATGAAAGAACAAAGATTATTATCACCTTGAAAATCTTTCTTTAATTTAAAAGATGAAATAATTTTAAAAGATGAAATATTTTGAAGATTGCTCTGTAGAAACTTGCTTATTAGCTATTACACTGTCCTAAAGTTACCTGAAATTAATATTGTATTGTGTGTCCATCATGAATGTACTCCGAATTTAGTTTCTATGAGACGAGCCGTTTTTAAACGAATATTCTTCAAATCGGTTATACCAGCGCTTCTCAAACTTCCAATATTTGAGAACCAATTTTCAATCATAACTTTCATTCCCCCCTTCTCATAAACTAACAAAGTATTGATTGTAATAATAATGCACTTCGACACTAAAGCTACAATACGACATCAATTATGCACCGTACAAATTATTAAGATAATTATTAAATTTAAAAAAAGGTTACTTTTAAGTGATAGATATTTTAAATAAACTTCTTTGTAATAATTTTTTAAAAAAACCCTCTTATTTTCGACTTTTTGATGTACCCTCGCCCCCCACGTAAGGTTATCACGCTCCCTAGAGGAAACGTCTCACAGTCGGAGAATCGCTGGATTGTACGATTACAGGAGCTACACATGAGATGATTTTGTACGTGGAATTTGTATGAAAAACCTAGAGTTATGACCATTTATCTTAATGATCATATTGCCTATATAGTAACTCCTTTTTCCGTTATTTGTCCAATTGGATATTATGTCTTCTCAAATGTTTATTTTTATTTTGTTTCAGAAAATATTACTATTGATATCTTTTGGAACAATGCAGTTAATATAAACATTCGATTCCTTTACCGATTTTACAATTAATCAATTAGTTCATTATAAGAGATTTTTTCCCCGAACGTCTCAAATGATTATAAAAATGAGAACGGACAGAAATCTTATTAGCTAGTCTATGATTGACTTTTTTCGAAACTGAAAACAGTAATTTTGAGTGCCGATAATATAGAATAGCTAGGAGACGAGATTACCAGTTTTTAGTTATATTTTGTCATATCATCTAAAGCTTGATATATGACCAGTGCTTTTGCTAAAAATAGAATTCATATAATTTATCCTATAAGAAAAATAATTGTAATCAGTGATATGCGACGACATAGTTTATTACAAACGACAAAAATGATTTGAATTCTGCCTGATACCCAACAATTAAAATGATTGGAATTAATAAATTGTGATTGTGCATGGAGTGATAATTTTACGCTGTACAGAGATGTATAGCA